CAGCAGCTCGGGGGAGGAGCGGGAGCCGTACCTGTCCGCCACCTGCCAACCAAAGGCGAGGGGGAGAATCAGCCCTGGTTCCTTCCAGGCAGGATTACAGGCAGCCCAAGCCTGGAGCCAGGGCTTTGCCAAGGATCCTCCCTGTCTCCCTGGCGGGAGGCAGGATCTGACCCACAACCCCCTCCCCAAATCACCAGCTCTCTCTTCCAACGTGAAGGGACAAGGTTGCTTATTGAAAGAATGAAAGGAGGGGTGGGGACAGCCACTCGCAAGCCCTGGGGGCTTCTGTCCGGCTCCTCTACCCCAAAGCTTACGGAGCAGAGCCTCGGAGCGCTGGCGTCCTGGCCGCACTCCAGAGGAAGGCCCAGCTCCCCAGAAACTGCTTGGTACCAGAGGGTGCGTGGCTGGGGCGGCTGGGGGGCGCTCAGTGGCAGAGCTGCCGTTTCTCCTGAAGAACATCCCAGGTTTGCCCCCCCAGGACCTGAGAGCAGAGCCAAATTGAAGTGGAGACACTTAACCGAGTCCCAACCGCCTCGCAGGTTCATCTGCTTGTGCAGCCCGCAGCTCCCGCCCTGCCCTTGGCCACTCACCAGGGGCGGCATGGCAGATGGCCCAGGGTGGTCCGTCCAGAGCGACTCCAGCTGTTTTGAGAGCTCGTCCACCTTGGCGGCGGCTGTGTCCAGCTCCAGCTGCTTGAGGTCCATGTGCCTGGCCGCCAGGGCTGTGGGGAACAAAGGCAGATTGAGAGGGGCAGGGCTCCGTCCCCGAGGCCTCAGAAGCAGCCTCCGACCGTGGCGGACCTCAATACCCATTATCCGCGGCCAGGGCAGGAGGATGAGAACCTAACTCCAATGCATCCGGAGGGCAGGAGGTCAACCAAAGGCACTGTGCTTAGCAAGATGCTCCAGGGGGAGGTCTCTTTTCTCCCTCTCAGATTTGAGAAAGATGAACAGCTAAAACCGGACCTAGAAAGGGCTCCTCCGGCTGAAACCCCAAGCAGAAGCCGCTTCCTTCCAGCAGTTTCCTGCCATCTGAACAGGCACCCAGAGGGATCTCCTCTTCAGGCCCCGGGTTTCCCTGCAGGGGAGGCCCCCTAATCCCCGGCTGGGGCCTTACTGCTCCTGGCAAGGGAGACCCAGGGTCCCAACCCCAGCCCTCCCATCCTTTCCCCCCGACAGGCTTCCTACATAGCCGTTACGTATGTTGCCTGTCGGGGAGGACCCCAACAAGCTTAGCCCAGCAAGCTATGGGGATGCCGAACGGGCCCAGGGGATCGCAGGCTCCTGCCTTGCTCCGAGCGAAATCCAGAGGGACGCTCCTGCAGAAGCTAGCCATGTCCACCCCGCACCTCTCACTCTGTGACTCCAGTGTGGCCTCAGCACCCAGACCTGTCCTGACCGAAAGCTGTCTCCTTTCTTAGGCAGATCTCCCTTACGCCCTGCGCTCGCCCTGTGCACGCCTTCTGGAGCACAGAGCTGGCCAAGGAATCCACAGACTGGCGGCAAGGGACATTTGGTCAGCCCTTTGCCTGGCCGGTGAGATATCTGGGTTTGGGTGGAGAACGGCACGAGCCAGACATGCAAAAGGCCAAGGAGATGAGATGGCGACTGGGGGGGTGGGTGGGGGGGAGGTGGTTTTGGCCGTTCCTTTTGGCCCTCTTCCTGGACATCCAGCTTCAAGAAGGGGAGCATCTCTCTGACCACTGCAGGGAACCGGACAGCGCACGAGACCAACCAGCAGCCTGATCCAACAGCTGGGCTCTTCAGAGGCTCTTGCTTCCGAGGAAGCATCACATCAGTTTCACGGGCTTTCTAACAAATGCACTTTAAGGTAGCCACCTAAATGGGCGTATATATTTTATCTTGGATATTTGCTTATATTTGTCCTGCATTCTATTTGCATTTAAACTACTTGGGCATCGGGACACGAGCCAATTGGCTACTTCCCAGCCCCAGGGCGCCCCCCATCACAGCCAGTCTGAGTCAGAATTAAGGGGCATCTCCGGTCTGCCAAACTACCGCTTCAGCCTCTACTTCCCCACAAAGAACCTACAGACAGCCTGCAGAACAGGCAGGGACATCCCTGGGAATCAGCACCGCTTTGGAAAAGGGTTTCCGACCCATGGTCTCCAGAGAGGCTGGACTACAGTGCTCCTCATCCCCGGTCAGCACAGCCAAGCACCTTGGATCTCTGCAAAACAATGGATCGGATCTCTCTGGGAGGGTGCAGGAGTAAGCCTTTGGAGATGAGGGCATCAAGACTCATGGAGTGACAAGGGGCCATTTAGGCCAACAATTATAACCCCCCCCCCAGGTTCATATTGCCCATGGCTAGTTATATCTACATTTTACATATATATTTGGCTATCTGTACGCGTACAAGCTGTTTTTAGTTTACATTTCAGGCTGCCACTCCAAATTGTTGTTTAAGCCCTGCTGGAAGAACTTTTCTTTTAAAAAGCAGTGTACAAATTTCAACATTCCTTGGCAGAACTCCCTTCCTCCCAGTGCTCCGTCTGCGGTGACTAAGCCAAGGTATGAGCAACCGTAATAAGAGCTCACCCGTCCCATCTTCCCATCCAAGGGCATTTTCCTCTCCTTAACCGGAATTCCAAGACGTGGGTCCCGCGGGGCAAGGAGCTGCTCTTTGGCGCCCTGCAAAGCCCGCCGCACAGGAGCAGGGCTACCTTTCTTCAGCACTGGGGCCTTTTGCCCCTCCAGGCCGCTCACATATGTCAAAGCTCCGGGCCAGCGAGAGAGTTTCCAGCGTCTCTTTCCAGAATGAGTCCGCCTGAGAAGCAGCTCACGCTAAGACCCGTGGGGAAGCCTCCCTTCCCGGCCACTCACGGGCTGAGCCCAGAACTCCCGTTTTCCTCGCCGGTCAGTATTTTCAAAACTACTCCGGCTGGAGAGGAGCGCTCAACCTGCCACTTGGACCCAGTTGCTTTTGGCCAAGCGAGTTGGGGAGTGAATGCAGGCTGGGCCGTTTCCTCTCTTCGTGCTTTGCCATCATTTTACGACCCCCGGTCAGACGGGGGGGCAAAGAGATTTGGATTCGGGGTCCCTCGCTCAAACTGGCCACCTCAAGCACAAAGGTGTCACAGAATGCAGCCAGACAGGCCGAAAAGGAGGCCTTTTGCAATGGCCAACCCTGCAGTGGGACCTCTGGGACTTCTGCTCTGGAATATATGGCCGGTTTAGGGAAGGTGCTGTAGAGGCTTGCCTGACCCAAGAGCAGGAGTCCCAGAGTCAGGGCCTCAGTGCAAAAGTGGGCCTGGAGAGGCCTCGTGCAAGGAGATCTAGCTCAGCTGCCTTGCCAGGTCCATCCTGGAAGACCAGGGGGGGGGGAGCCCGCCAAGCAGAGCTGCAAGGTGTGGTTCCTGCCCTCCTTCCAAAGGCCCCCTCTCCGCCAGTGCCCGTTTCCTCTTGCCTCCTGCGGGCCTTCCTCCCCAGCACGGCCCAGGAACTGCAGACAAGTCCCCTCGACTCACATTGGAAGCTGAGGTCCAGGAGCTCCTGAGCACTGGTGAGGTCTTGGCTGGCCATGGCACCCGCAGGTGGCTTGGGCTTCCACGCCGTCAGCAAGCAGCGCTCTAAGGGTCACAGCGACCTGGGAAGACGGAGCATGCCCATCAATGGCTTCCTACTGCAGCATCGCCCTTTGCCACCCGGCCCACGAGGACAACTCCACACCTACTCCTGGCACTCGTGCCCTTTCCCCGGGCAGTTCTGCAGCTGTTAGGAGCCAGCCTTCCCAGCCTCCTGCCAGTAAGTTGGCGCTGGTGCAGCTTTTTTCAGGGAGGGGCTAGGAACCAGGCAGAACTCTTGATCGAGGCTCTCGGGCAGCCCCGGCAGGAGCCAGGGGTGACACCGCGGCTGGAAGGGCTGCACCATCGCAAAGCTCCTTTTGGAAAGAACCAGGGGAAGCCCAGCCCGGTACCCAAGGTTGGGCGGGGCCGAAAGCGGACAGGGCAGAGAAGCCCCAGGATTGCCCCAGAGAAAAGGTCAGGGTGGCTTCTTCCTGTGCCAGGTGCCAGGCTAGCCGGAAAGTAAACAGCCGCTCCCCCAAACAAGCCTGGCACTGGCTCTCAGGATCGTTCTGGGGCCTTCGCTTCAGGCTGGCACAGGCCTCTGGGCCTCGTGGGGTGGCCAAAATCATGACAAGCAAGGAGGTGGGAGACCCTCTAGGAAGCAAGGCAGTGCCCGAAGGAGGTGAGCGCCCTGCCCAGAGCCCTGGACAAACTTCTGACCCTGATGCCACTTCAGGAGCAAGGTCAAGGCAACTCTCTAGAGTCAACTTTAAAAACTACATCAGGAATCCAGTTGGGCAAGGAGGCTCCCCTGAAAGTCCAGCCCCTGGTCAAGGGGACCTAGCAGAGCCCCTCTCCCAACCTGCTGCCCTCCACCCGTTGTTTGACTGCAAAACACACGTGGCGGGGGGGGAGCTACCAATCCTCACCACAGCCTTGCCGTCTCCTGCCTGTCAGCTCTGGGCTGTGGGAAGGGCTAATCTTGTTCCCAAAAGGTGGTTTCCCTCCCACCCGAATAGTACTGAATTTCCAAAATGAAATCACTGTTGCAAGGGTGTTCACCGCCTAAAACTCTTAAGCAACCATCACACGTTTTTCTTTCTCAACTCAAGTTTCTTTCCAGTTCAGGGAGAGTCTAAAGCACCACCTCCTCCACCTCTCAGGCTAAAAATCGGCACTGCTCTCCTTACCGCCTCCCAAAAGACACCTTTAAAGGCAGGTTCTACCTTCATAAATATGACCCCTTTTCAGGGAATGTCTGAATGAAGGAAAGCACCTTCCTTCTAATGAAAAATACACAGGACTGTGCTGTCAATGAATAATTTTAAGGTGCCCTCCTGGAAGCTCTGCCCAGCTCTG